CGAGGAGTTTCCGTGAGTTGTATCTTGACGATCGCGTTTCATCCGCGTCATCTGCTCGCGCGGGAAATTGCACTCGCTCGGCAAGATGAAGGAAAACTTCGAACTAAGTAAACTACGAAGAAAGGAATGATCGGAGCTAGATGGATCTATAGATTTTGTAGGAAGCTGGACAATTCATTTTGTTAATCTTTTAACATGCTCAAACTTAATGTGGCCACGTATGCGGCAACGTTATTATGATAATCATAATTTTGCATATATTTACTTTCAACTCGAGCAATCGACCGTCAGTTTGAACAAAAAAAAATATCTGGAAAAAATCACCGATTGTATGCCGGGTGTATATCTTTCTTTAGAACGAGCTTAAGGTATATAGACGTGTGCAATCACTATAATGGATCTCGCAGTGTGTGCGCGCGTGTTACGCTTGTTCATCTTAATATCCGCGCTGCTGCGCTGTGGGTGGACGAGATAAAGCCTAATCAAGGAGATGCGGTCTTATCCGCGTCGCAAACTGAGACATATTGCACGGCGAGCTGCGACAACGATACGTGCATCGCATAATGCCAATCATGCGAATCACACTACCCATAACACCCGTAACTTCTCGCGACAACTTTCTCCGTCCTATCGAGCCGGGGATCCTCGCAAAGTTTAATTTACTAAATTTTATTTGCCTGTACGTATACACGAATTTTATCAGCTCTTATATTACGCGTGACTCTCTACTCGCTTAGAGATTGAACTATGACTTCTCGACTATTGTAAATGTCAGTCGGAAAAATTATTTTACAATTAAAGTTTAATTAAATGTTAACTGAAGATAAATTGAAACGCTATTCGACAAAACAACAGTAATTTCTCTTCAAACCGCAATAATGCCACGTTTTAGAGATGAATAGATGTAACGGAAAAAAGGTTAAACGAGAACCCGAGACACATGAGACACAAACACAGTGACCTTGAGTTGCTTCGCTTGCCATATAATACGAGTAATTAGCGTGTGCTGTAATTGTCTGTTCAAATAATGAATGTTCAGTCAAGAATGTCGAAATTATTCAAATATTAAAGCCGGGAATATAATCCTAATTAGGAAACAAACTCCACAAACATAAGGAAATGAAATAAAAGTAATTTAGAAAACACATATATGATTACATTCTGTGTATACAGGTGTGCGAATAAATTCGGTGACAAAATGTATTACAGAAATACTCTTACGCGGATAATTTTTCGTTCCACAGTGAATAATTGAACATTTCTTGAATAATAAAAAATATTGTAATGAAAGTAATACAACAATTTATATATTTTATTTATATGTGATATGTGATGTCATGATAATAATATTAATAAAATACTAAAATTAAAAACAGAATCTCATTAAAAAAATAAACTGCAGGTATAAATATGGAACGACAGCAATTTAGAAAAATACAGTGATTGCGTTTTTGTATGTACAGGTGTGCGTTCCATGACCACCCGAGTATTTATTACAGCCGGAGGGTGAAATAAATGCTTCCTCTCTCTTTCTGTTTTTCTTTATCTACACTAGACAAATAAAATTGCCTGTTATTTTTTTTTGTATTTTCCTCGTGCTTCGATGAGTACACTATTCAAAATCATTGGTACATTTATTTGTCTCATATATGTGCATGCATATGTGTACATATATATAATAAATCATTATTAATAACATAAAAATCGGCAAAAGAATAAATAAAAATAAATCTTTATAAAAAAATAAGTTGAATAAAGGTTTTTTATACGTATATACATATACTATATGCAGATATATTAAATTCCACATGCAATTAAATTAAAATTTAGAGACTTAATATATTTTATTTCATGTTTGAAGAACTTCTTGAGACTTGTCAAATATCAATAAACTTATCTAGTCAAGACTATCTAAATATACCTACATATTCAAAAAATAACACATCGCATTAAGCGAATAGTAGAAGAGATCTCTTAATGTGTTATGAATAATTTACATCCAATACTTTTGCAGTTATTTTAAATTGCCTTATATTAACTAAAACGTTGTATTTTTACTCATGGACGTGTTACCACTGTCAATTAATATTTATGTGAATTTATGAAAACTTATTCGCAAGCTTCGAAAGTATATTATTAATTTTCCAATTCGCAAAGTCACTTCTCTAAAAACAGCGACCCGCATGAACAATTCTATTCTACATTTTTGTCTTTATTTGTTATAAAATGAGTATAGAAATTTCTTTTATTGGTGTAATAACCTACTATTATGTGCATTACAAATTCTTTATACAAAAAATTTTATATTATAATTGCACAGTTTGCAGTGACAATTGAACAGTTAATTAGATGATATTTAGTTAGTAATTTAGATATTTCACTACATATTATATCTATATTGTAAATGTGTGTTGTCGTAGTCGGTTAAAAAAAGATGCATTCGAGAATCAGAATTTCGGCCAGCTGGAACTATTCTCGATCATGCCGGATCTATTTTCAAAGACGCCTGCTATACGTCCCACGCTCATCAAGAATCTTCATAGCAGTGAAAATTTGAAACATTTCTTTTCTAACTTTATTCAAATTCTTTCATAAAGTAATAAATAATGAGAAAAAGTGACATTCTTGTATAAATTTCATTTAAATTGTTTCAAATCTTTATCTAAAAAATATATTAAACGATAAACCGCTGATATACAAACTTAATCTAGGATTAATTAAGTGCAGGTTTGTAATTTCAACGCGCAAATTTTCATACATCACTTTCTTCTTTCTGCAAGAGGTGCGGTTTGTCCTCAATTATTAATTCTAAAATTATGCAATTGCAAAACAACAACACAATAAACGGCCAACGTATTATTAGATATTCCGCCTGGCGTAATATGAACGAGGACAACAACGAAGACGACACTTTAACGACTTTAATAAAAAATTGCCACTTAATCTTAAGCACAATCATGCTTAAATGAATCATCACAATCATGTTTAAATGAATCAATGTATAAACACCTGTAGCTGTCATTTAATTAATATCACCAACTCGAATATATAATAAAGCAACATGTGCTATTAAACGTGTATGTTCGCGTAGTAAACGCTGTAGTAATATGATCCTCAACAACTTGAGTAATATGATAACATTAGAACAACCTAATCTAAAAACTAAAATGCAGTTTTGCTATCGTTCTTCTCTGTTTTAAATGTTAATATCGTCATTCTTCAATATTCTGTATATGTATATTTAAATATAACAAATATCTTCATATCACACGTTAGAACGTTTAATGTTAGAAATTTTCCAGTATCTTTTTGGAGCATTCCTTGAAACAATCATATTACATATTTTGACATGTGTTGGAATTTTGCAATTAACCGCTTCCTACGCTATTATTTCCACGAGCAAACTTCAGAACAAGTTTTTTTTATCGTTGTTCGTCGTCCAGCAAATTGACGTTATTACGCGGTTTATCGCGGCAGACCGCAATTGTCGAAACAAACACAGTTTGCAATTTCGCAATGTAACGCAAATTTTCTATTTCAATTTAGGCAGCGTTCAATTTATTTCGTTTACTTGTAACGTCATTATAACAGTTCACAATTACGATGTTATAATCGCAATGTATGTACGTGAAAGCTTTGCGTATTATTAGCTATTTGCTTTTATATAAATAATTATGAAGTTTAACGTTAATAATGATTTCATTTTAACTTTATTAATAGATCCAGTTTAATTTTTAATTGTATTTTTTATCTGTAATCGATTAAATTAATTGTATTTCAATTTATATATATTTTTTACCTTTAATCTTTATACGTATAAAACAATACCTTACAATTATTTTTTAAAATTTGTAATATTTGTATTCAACTAAAAAGACTTGATATATTTATTTATATAAAAGATTTAAGAAATAATGCTCTTTATATATTTTAAAATATTCTTAGAAGATGGCGTCTAAAATATACGCGTTCAAAGAGGAGGGTGCCAAGAAGAGAGAAAGAGATCTAATTACTTTTGCAGAGAGAGAGAGAGAGAGAGAGAGAGAAAGAGGAAGAGTACTTAAAAAAGATTTTCATTGCGTAATTAAAATATGAATAAACATATGTTACTTTGCGTTAAACTCAGACTTTCCATGAATTATTTAGCGGTAGTTAATGTATCATTTTCTTCGCGAATCAACGATGCAACATGTATTTCAATAATAAGTATAATAAAACGCGTAGTTGAAATGTTTATTTTCATTAACTTCATAACCGGAGAAATAAACGTTTCTTCGAATATCAAATGCAATAACTGCTTTTGTATTTGTAACAGAGTTCGGAAAAACAAATTGAGTCGATCAGTTTATCATGGAGCATTTTATATTTAATTTTCACAACTGAATTTCAAGATAAAACCAATAATTTTGAGTAAAAACTTAGTTAATTAATTTTGATCGATATGTTAAATTTTGTTAAAAATTAATTTAATTTCTAAGAACTGTTTTTTAAATTTAATCGTATTTGTTAAATTTTCAAATGAACAAATTGTCTCTAAATAGCAGTTTTTCCTCTTCCGAAAGTTTTTTGTTTATGTGTATTAAAATGAACATGTATCAAAAAACCACACTAAAAATGCATTTATTAAAATAATGCAATACTCTTTTCGAGCTTATTGTTAAAGTAACGTAATTATAAAATGTTTCATTGATGCTATCGAGTTTTTGCAAAAGGGGACAGATGATAATAAAAAATATTGATCAAAGAAGAAATGTTGTCAGAGAAGAAAGGAGATTTATACCTCACCGTTTGTATAACACAGAAAAGATGTGATGCAATGTTTCCTTTATTTGTGTACCGTTGCAAAATTCTTTTGCGGAATTTGTGCGGTATTTTATTCTGTTTCGTTAACGTTTCAATCTCTCAACTTCAATTACATCTCTTAATTACATTGTACACACATTAAAAGCCTGTTTACTTACTAAAAGAGAAATAAAAACTTTATCAAAGCGGTTACACACCTTTTTCGTAACGTCGCAGCCGAACTTTGTTAAGCGTAGCCGCCTCAGGAACAACACTATTCACAAATATCGCACTCGCGCGAATATCTTGCAAGCTCCGACTTTTTCTTTTCTTTTTTTTTGGCAGAACGGCAGTGTCGCGATACCGCGCAGGATTGAGGAATAAGCTTTGTAAATGTCGACGACAATCGTGAATTTGAATTGCAATGAAACAAGATGCACGATACGATTTACGAACGAGCGTCACGCGATCCCGCAATGCCTACGGCGGCGATGGTGCAAGGCGGGAGTCCCGTAGGAGTGCAAAAGCACGTGGCCGCCGCAATTTTGAAAACGGAGCACACACCACGAGGCGAGACTCGCGTATCAGCAGCTCGCTGTACACTGTCGCGCGAAACCTCCGTCATCGCGATCGTCCGCGCGTTATCCCCTCCTCGAGCCCACCATGCCACTCACCATTCCACGCGCCAGCGCACGCCGCTGATGTGTATGTGTGAAGTATAAAGTGAATTCGTAATCACATGCTACGCTCGATTAAAGGGCCACCTATTCCAACATAAAATTCCCGTTTCTTTACATTCAATTTTTATTAATTAAATGTAATTTATATATTTGCATATTTATACGTTCGTAATATCGGTAATTTATATATTTGTAATGCAACGTGCAATTTATAATGTAGAATGGCATTTGTTATTTAACGTAATAAGTTAATAATTCTTTTTCGCCGATCGATCGCAGCCTTGTAATTGACCTAATCGAGCGCAATTAAGTACTATGGTAATATATATATGTGTGCATGCACATATATAATAGAGGAAGAGGTGTTATTTCCTTAAATACCTTTAAGTGCCGAAGGAATAAGAGGAATCTAGAAACCAAATTTTTTCCAATTACATTTCATGAATTTACTTCACCTTTCTGCGAATTTATTGCGACTGAAGGAACATTTGTAGCTCATAAAAAAGGTATTACGCAGCACATTTCTCGGCGAATCCAATTTCCAATTACTTTGCCGTTTTGAACGCACATTCGACAATGACAAATTACTAAACCGCTGCAGACCTCGCACCAAATGCATATCACGTTGCTAGACATTTTATATTTTATCAACCTTTATATGTATAATTGTCGCGTATGAAGTATTAACAATTTAATATCAAGCACTAAAAAATTGTACATACTTATAAATATAATATCAATATACATATACACAGGCAATCACACAATATAAGTGTACACACACACACGTGCACATACACGCGCTCACACACAACGCGCGCGTGTGTGTGTCTCGTATATGTATATTTTTAGCATCATCAGTTACCCAAGAATATCGAGTAGCATTGCCTTTGTTTAAATAGACAGCTGTGGCAGTTAAAACATCCTCAACATAGATCGGTATATAGATCATCAGAAAGTGACTTAAAAGTAGAGCGGAAGGGCTCGCATCCCTCGAAGGCACAATCTCGAGATAAAAATCGAGCGAGCGAGCATAAAAGTGGCATTAAATTCGAATTGCCCGTATCCTGGCGCGCAAAACTTTACAGGAGGCGGTCGTCTCTGTTGTCATCAAAAAGGAAAGGAAAAAAAAAGACGGAAAGGCGTCGTAAAGACACCGCGCGACACCCGAGATATGTGATTGTGCATAGAGAACATACACACGAAGTACGTTATGTATATCGAATAAATAGAGGGATTTACAACTTAATTTTTACTTTAGAATACAAAATGCAAAATTTCACTTGAAATTTATTTTCGGACGTTTTTATATAATATATGCGCGTGCGTGATGTGTGATTTCTATATGTCATTTTACACATACAATTACGAGAGAGAGAGAGAGAGAGAGAGAGAGAGAGAGTACAGCAAAATAAAATTATATATAAAATCACGCATCCACATAATTTCAAAAAACAAAAGCTATTCTACAGTGTAAATGAAATGTAGTAAATAATGAGTGAATATATAATAAAATGCTTACTTTATAAAAATAAAAAAATAGTGATTTTTAATTTACACAATTAACAAATATTTAATTTATATGTAAGTAAAAACAAATGTGTGATTTTACGAAAAATGTATAGAAAATGTTTCGTGCGCATTAGCGAATTGATGAAAATTTGCATAATATTTTGCGTCATTCCATGACGGCTTTGTTAATTAACGAATCGTTGCCGCAAGGCGTGTAAAATGTTCGCTAAAACAACGTTTCGATATAAACTTTCTGAAGCAAGTATTTTTACAAGTGCAACAGATTTCGCGATTCAACGCGAAAATATAATTCGCGAACAAATGTGCAAACACGTCTGAATATTTTACTTTGTTTTTTTATTGTGCTATTTACGTAAGTTTATTTTTCGTAAATTTTCTTTTTATGCATTCCTAAAAGCATCATGAATCAATAATAAAATATTTGCCAACAATGGAAATATTAATGGAAAAGATAAATGAGTGATAAAAGGAAAATATTATTCAAATAACGTATTTTGTATAAAGAAAAATGATAAATTACGAAAATATAGGTAATTGTAAGAAATAGTTTTTTCAATGCACTATCAATTCTTTATTATAAGATTAAAAAGTATACATGTGTATATTCATATACATGTAACACACACGCGCGATGTGTACATGCGTACGCACGTCTCTACTTTCTGAATTTTCAATGAAAATGTCAATCTCTAAAAAAATACTTTTACAATTATTTATATTACCATTATACATATATATTTATATGGACTTTATTTTCCTTTAAACTCATAAGATTTTATATATTTGGGGAGTTTCTTATATTTCAGATGTTCCGCGAAAATAGGAAATCTCTTGATCGCACGTTTTGTATGCGGAAAAGTGTGTGCAAACATAGAAACCTCGCGGCGAAAATTTGGTCGTTTGATTATTTGCTTGGCAGATCAACTCTCCCGTGACCTCTCGCGCTATTCTCTTATCACATTTTATCAGATTCTTCAAATCGTCTTTTAACGCAATGGATAGACAGATAGTTTCCGACGGACACAGCTGTGTAATTATTAAATTATTATTTAAAAATAAACATTTGTGCATACACACATATTATACTTTTATATATTGTTACGTAGAAAACAGAAAATGTTTTCTACAAAATGCTGTAATTCATATATTATTACAAACGAAAATAAAATTATGTGCCTTATATGTATATTATTAATGCTCATTTAATATATTCGCATTGCGTATCATCATTATGCTTCAACACATGATGACTTCTCCTCTTCTAATACCCCTTAAAATTCTTCTCCATTTTATGGATATGTATGTTTTAACAACAATTCTCACAATCAGTTGTATTATGGCAAAATTGAATTATTTTTCATTCAGTTATATTAATCAGATTTTATTTTAATCAGACTTTATGTTATGTTTGATTACCGAGAGAGAGAGAGAGAGAGAGAGAGGGGGGGGGGAGGGGGAGGGAGGGAGAATATTTTTTATACAATTTATATTATGTGGTTAAACGTGGTTTACGAAATTCGCCAAATAAAAGTAGCCATAAAACAACTATTTTCAATAATCAATATTATATATAATACAAAGTGTCTCGTTAAAAAATGTCATGAATTTGTCGTGAATTTAAAATCATCTTACAATCTGTTTTATCCTTGAAAAATACGCGCATGCCCAACAATTCTTTATCGATTTAACGTCATTTGCAATAAAATTTTCAAAAATTTAGATTTTATTTCTGTGACAAGTAAAAAATAGATATAATAAATAAGAGAAGGTAATGCGCGCTGTGGAAGCTGCGTAAATAATAAATATATATGAAAAATGTTAAATTTGCAAAGTGGCATAATGCTAAAAGTAACATAAATGTCAACATATAAATTTACAAGAATGAACGCGATTTTATCATTGACTGCGCGATTTTCATGCTTTTTGCGATCCAATTTCCACGATGATAATAATACTTTACAATGATAATAATAATTTATGTTGAGAATGATATCACGTGTCGCCGTAAATTTCCTGGGAGATACGTTGCCGCGAACACCCTCCATATACACAACCTTGACTCTTGGATTCGTAAGAGAAATTATATACTGAGCTAAGGTATGTTTGTATCAGTATGAATAATGGGCAAGCGTTGAATATAAAAAATAAAATAGACAGAAAATTAAAATAATAGAAAACGTGAAAAATAAAAATCATAAAACAGATAAAAGCTAAACTATAATAAAAATATACAAAACTATTTATAGGTGTATGTGTATACAAACATATTAAAACACATTAAAGTAAGAATAAATGAACAGGATCGATGAAATTTTAAATCAATTAAGAAATACCAATTGTTAGGCAGAGCTGATCCTTCGTAACTTAATAATATCGTTTGAATTTATTTTGTTCACTCATTCCACAATTAATAAACTGCGCCAATTTTTTTGTTAGACTTAAAACAGTTCCATAATGTATTAGAACAGTAAATTCACATATTTCAATCGATAAACGATTAATCTTTTGTTTATATGCTTCCTATTAAAAATTACTGTAAAGAATTTATTGCGTTTATAACTGAAAACAAATAATTATTATATTTCTCCAATTATAATCTGTGCTTCTTTTGCTTTCAACTGCTGTTTCTTTCACATAAAGCTATAATTCTATTAAAGTTAAATGTTAGAAGATAAAAGAAATTTTTCGTACGACAAATGCAATCTGGATTGAGATTGACGATTGGCGATTGTCTTCTAGCCAATTAGAGCAAAGCAGCCAGCAATTTAATCGACACTCAGAAGCCAATCAACACGCTTGAAAAATTTGTCGTACGACAAATGTAATATTAAGTGCCTGGTAATGCCAGGCAACAGGCAACAGGAACAGGGAATAGAATTTCTGACGCGTTGGATCGGTTGGAAGAAAATTTCCGACGAATCCAACGCGTCAAAAATTCTATTCCCTATTGCCTGCCTTGTGTAATAAACTTTTAGCCTAATACATAAAAGACTATGAAAGATTCACACTGCCCGCCGGTGGTCTATGTAAAGCTGCGTTCGGAAACGTCACTCGAGTGCCCCGGTGTATCATTTTATCCCTGTTTACCATTCGGTGAGCAACAAAGATGGAAATGATACACTAGAGCCGGTATTCATAGTCGATTCTTATTTCAAAATTATATTAAGTGTTGTCTTAGTCCCAGTCTACAATAGATGATTTAAGCCCTAAGCTTTAAGAAATTGGCCAATCACGGTCAAGTATGAGAAGAATGCGCGACTGTGATTAGTCAATTTCTTAAGGCTTAGGGCTTAAATCACAGTATAACC